GATCTGATTGGACAAAATCAAGTATTGAATTTAAAAGATAAATTTGCCAATAACATCTTCTGGAAGTGTTCTTTGAGTTATCTTTTACTAGAAGAAGTGCATCAGCAGCCTTAGTCATTTGAGCAGCACATATAAAATTTATCAATTTTACAATTGATGAGTTTGGACCACATTTCTACATGGCTATTGAAGCTTCAGCCTTTGAGAATCCCATTTTTGTCAAGTAAACAGTTTATTCTCCTCATCAGAATCAGAATTCAAGATTTTTTGGTATTAGAAGAACTATCGATATCTGTGAAATCATCTTGAAAGGCCATTTCATAATCAGATGAGCTGTTATCAGAATCAACATGTTGCTTGAATGCAAGTTTTTCAAGAGCCTACACAATTGAGTTTTATTCTCAAGAAATTTTTGTGACATTATATATACCTCTACATTTGTCAAAGAGGATAGATTCTCTGATTTGAAGAAGAAAGATTTATTGGGTTTCTACAACTGAAGAAATATTCAATTCACTCATCTGAAATCAAATAACTTAACATTCATGCATCATATTTTAGGTGTTTACAAAAATAGGTGCATTTTTATTCATTTTCATCTATGTTGAATTTTTAACAGGAATTTTAAAGATTTTAGCAAAGACTTGAATTCATCAAACTGATGGATCATCATTTCCAGAGGAAGAGTTCATAATGAGAAGAACTCGTCATCTGAAGAAGGAAGAAGAAGTTCATAATGAGAAGAACTTGTTCAACCTTTTGCTTGAATTCATCAATTTGATGGATCATCATTTCCAGAGGAAGAGTTCATAATGAGAAGAACTCGTCATCTGAAGAAGGAAGAAGAAGTTCATAATGAGAAGAACTTGTTCAACCTTTTGCTTGAATTCATCACTTGATGGATCATTCTTTTCCAGAGAAAGTTCATAATGAGAAGAACTCATCTGAAGAAGGAAGAAGAAATTCATAATGAGAAGAACTTGTTCAACCTTTTGCTTGAATTCATCACTTGATGGATCATTCTTTTCCAGAGAAAGTTCATAATGAGAAGAACTCATCTGAAGAAGGAAGAAGAAATTCATAATGAGAAGAACTTGTTCAACCTTTTGCTTGAATTCATCACTTGATGGATCATTCTTTTCCAGAGAAAGTTCATAATGAGAAGAACTCATCTGAAGAAGGAAGAAGAAATTCATAATGAGAAGAACTTGTTCAACCTTTTGCTTGAATTCATCAAATTGATGGATCATCATTTCCAGAGGAAGAGTTCATAATGAGAAGAACTCGTCATCTGAAGAAGGAAGAAGAAGTTCATAATGAGAAGAACTTGTTCAACCTTTTGCTTGAATTCATCAAATTGATGGATCATCATTTCCAGAGAAAGAGTTCATAATGAGAAGAACTCGTCATCTGAAGAAGGAAGAAGAAGTTCATAATGAGAAGAACTTGTTCAATCTTTTGCTTGAATTCATCATTTGATGGAACATCATCCCCAGCAGAAAGTTCATAATGAGAAGAACTCATCTGGAGAAAAAGAAGAATTTATTCAATATCTCCATAATGATCAAAGTAAAGTCAAATGGATAAAAAATTTTATTATCTTTTCATCTTTGCCCTATTCTTGTTAACACAAGAATGAGCAAAGAGGGGCAGCTGAAGATACTATTTTTTATCCATATTATTATTATTATTATTATTATTATTATATATTATTATATTATTAATTATTATTTTATTATTATTATTATTATTATTTTATTATTAAATATATTAAATACATATAAATTACAAACCAATTACAATTCAACCGGCCCAGTTACAAACCAACTGAAACCGGTCCAAATCCAATCAGAAACCCTAAATATTTGGGTTTTCAGTTAGGGTTCCCTAACCCTAATCCCAGCCGCCTCATCATCACAGCCGTTGGATCTGAGAGATCCAACGGCCCATACTCATCCAGCACAAACCCTAGGGTATGATACCCTAGGGCCACGCGGCCGCCGCTGCTGCTGCTTCCAGAAGACTCCGCCGCTGCCACGTCCAAACCGAGGACACCAGAAGACAGAATACCAGCCGTCCACGCCATGGCTACTCAGTGAGTCACCACTGGTAGTCCGGTGACTCACCGAGAGTCCCTCTTCGGACCGGTCTGAGACGAACACCGGTGGTGGCTATAAAAGCCACCACCCCACCTGCGAAAACAACAACACACAGAGACAGAAGGACAGAGACAGAACCAAAAGAAAAAAAAAAAGGAAAATAGAGAGAGATATAAAACTACCAACGATCTCAGTCAGCATCAACCACAGCAAGGAAAAAGAGAGAAGAGAGACAAAAGCTTACCCTGTCATCGGAGAGCCCCAACTGTCACCGGATCTCACCAAAACTTCGAAAAGCCGAAGGTATTATTGTAGATTTGCTCCGATTGGGAGTCTTTTAATGAAAAAAAACATAGGAACCGTCATTAGGACGGTCCGATCTACATTTAGGATGAAAAATATTTTTTCCGGCCACCGAAAACGGTGGCCGGCGGCAGAAATCGCGGCGGCAGACGGCTGCCGGATTCCCTCCGGTGAGGGAATCTAGAGAGAGGCCATAGAGAATTCTCTCTCTCTCTCTCTCTTTCTGCTGAAAGAAAAAAAAAAGGAAAAATGAAATGGCTGGCCCTTCGGGCCAGCCGGTTTGGACATATATAGTCCTTCCCGAACGACGTCGTTTCGGGAAGGACTATACGCGTAATTATAAAAAAATTTAAATCCCTTCCGCAGTCCTTAGTACTTGTAAACTTTATATTTTAGTCACTAAATTGAATTTATAATATTTTTAGTTCAGTCTTCGAATTTTAATTTCTTTTATTTTAGTCCTTCATATTAAAATAATATATTTAGGATAAATTACAGATTTAATCCATTAATTTTAATAAATAATATTTTAATCCCTAGTTTATATTTTTAATTTATTTGATTCTAATATCCGAATTTTAGATAATTTTATTTTAGTCACCAAACAAATAAAATAAAGAAATAATATATTTAATCCCTATAATTTTGATTAATTATGAATTAGATTTTTAATTTTATTTTTATTGTAATTTAGTTAGTTATTTTATATGTTTTCATTTATTTTATTGTTTTTAAATATATTGTTTTAGTAATATTTGTATTTTTATATTGTTAAATATTTTTATGTTCATAAATATATAATAAATAGTATTTTTTTTAAATATTTATTTTTAATATTGAAGAAAAAGGACAGTCTTAATACAACTGGATGTCCTATTCTGATATTTTAAAATTAAAAAGTAAACCATATTATTTAAATTAATATTTATCAATATCAAAGAAAAGAGCTGTCTTAAGGCACCTAGAAGTTCTTTTCGGATATTTTTAAATAAATAAATATTTTATATATAATTTTGAAATAATAGGATTATAAATTAAATATATTTTTTATTTTTAAATTTTAATAATAGAGACAATTTATAATTAAAAAGTACCAATTTTGGGCGTTGTAGGGGTGCTAATCCTTCCCTAAACGTAACCGACCACGAATCCCTTTTTATTAGTAAAAAGAACGAATTTTTGGTTATAAAACGCAGATCAGTTCATCTTTTAAATATGGTTTTCTTAAAAACTCTTTTAAAAGATAATTTTTAGGTATTCAACCTACCTGATCCAAAAGGTCGATGGCGACTCACAAATTATTTTCAAAATTATTTATTAACATTAATTTCCCCGCCAAATTTTAATATTTCGTGCCCGGACGAAAACCGGTTACGACAAAACCGTTGAGGGCGGTGATGATAGTATTAGTAATTGTAATGATGACGACGATGATAACAATGCATGCCAAAAAATTTATTGGTTGTTATGATGATACTGATTAGTATTACTAATGATTGGAATTTCGCACTTTCTGTGTCCAGTTCAAACCAAAACTTCTAGATCTTTGATCGACACTGCATGATGCTTCAGATGATGATCCGGAGGACTCGTATAGTTTATGAACCAAAATGGAATAAAAATAATAATTTATGTACTACACGTGTAGTTTACCTTTTTATTTTTTGCCCAGTCTAAATTAATAGTATAATAAAGACTTAATACAAAAAATAAGTACTCAAATTATGTATTGAAAAACATTTTAGTGTTTAAAGAATTTTTTGCTAAAAATAGATGTCTAATGTTTCCAACGCTATATTTTTAGGTACACGGATGTTAACCACTTTTAAAAATCTCTATTAAGAGACGTGTGTGTCACGTTATGATAATTTTGAAAATTTATTTTAAAAAATAAAAAATAAAAGTATTTTTTATTAAAAAAAAAACCAAACAGCTACCGTGTTCTGTCCCCTCTCTCCTTCTCTATTCCCCCTTCCCCCTTATCTATTCCCCCTTCACCCTTCCATAGTTGTTGGCCAGTCAACATTGATTGTCACAGCTACCGTTATCAGTACAGGTATCGAGTCCCGATCAAACTCCCGTTGATCATCGTGATTTGCCATTATTTGTTATAGAGAAGCGTTCAAAGGTTCGTCGGATTTTAAGCCACTGTCGTCGTTCGTCGTCGATTCCGACATCCGTAAGCCACACTGCCACCACCATTCGAACATCGTGCAATTTCGATCAAAATCCAGTCGTTCATTGATGAAGATGACGATGATGGCCGACGACAATCGATAATATGGTTAAAATGAGAAATTTTAATTTTTAGGGTTTTTTATAATTTCAGTAAAATTTTAAGTTTTTATAAATAAATTAAGTTTTTTTAATTTTTTTTCCATTTTTTTAAAATAATATTTTTATTATTAAAAAATTAAAAAAAATTAAAAATATAAACCTAAAATATAAATGAAAATTCGTTAAACACCTACCTTTAAAAAAAGTTCTTTAAATATCAACACGTTTTTGGAGTTATAATTTAAACCGAATTTTTGTATTAAGCCTATATTAAAATACTAAATAGTAGCGGGTTTAACGAAAGGTAGCCGCCCACATAAACAGAATTAACGGTTACGCTATTACAATCCAGAAATCCAAAGAGAAGAGCTTTCGATTTCTAATGGCAATCTCTTCAACTTCTGAATCTTGAAATCAAATTCAAAAATGGTTGCAACTCTACTCACTCACAATTACTTCTCCAATTTCAACGCACCCAGAATTGTTTCCCTTAACCCCTGCGAACCCCCCAACCCAAACCAAAGCCAATATGCTGTAAGCGGTCCAAGATTTCCCAAACTGAATCAACTCCAATTAACCCATTTCAGTGCTTCAAAAACCTTAACCGAACCGTGCAATATCACACTCATTGATGCTCTTCGTTCTTGTATTGATTCGGGGTCGATAGAGGATGCACTCTACTTGTTTGAAGAAATGAACCACTCGGATACCTTCACGTGGAATATCGTGATTAAGGGTTTAGTCCAAAAAGGGTTGTTCGATGAAGCAATTAGTTATTTCCACAGGATGGAATTTGAAGGAGTTAGACCGGATAAATTTACATACCCATTTGTGCTCAAGGCCTGTGCTGGGTTATTGTCTTTTAAGGAAGGGAGTAAAGTTCATGCGAAATTAATTAAGGTTGGATTAGATTTGGATGTTTATATTTGTAACTCTCTTATTTCTATGTATATGAAAGTCGGGTGCCTCGAATCGGGAGAGAATGTGTTTGAGGAGATGTCTGCGAGGGACTTGGTTTCTTGGAATGCTATGGTTTCTGGGTACCAACTAGTTGGTGATAGTTTGAGCTCGTTGGTTTGCTTAAGGGAAATGGTTTCGGTAGGAATAAGACCGGATAGTTTCAGTTTTATTAGCGGTCTTGGGGCCTGTTCTGTCGAGGGTTTTGGAAGAAATGGTAAAGAGGTTCATTGTCAGGTTATTAGAAATGGGTTTGAAATGGATCCTAGGGTGGAAACTTCACTGATTGATATGTATGGGAAATGTGGGAATGCGATTTATGCAGAGAGGGTGTTCAACATGATCGTCGACAAAAACATTGTCACTTGGAATGTTATGGTTGCTGGGTATGCTTACAATGCTCGTTTCTATGAGTCATTCTCTTGTGTTAAGAAGATGCAAGATGTTGGAAAGTTGACGCCTGATGTTATTACAATGATAAACTTACTTCCAGCTTGCGCACAAACGGGAGCCCTTTTGATGGCTAAGTCTATTCATGCTAGTGCAATCAGAAAAGGGTTTCTCCCTCATATAGTATTGGAGACTGCTCTGGTTGATTTTTACGGAAGGTGTGGGAAGTTGAAACTGGCTGAACATGTCTTTACGCAAATCAACCAAAAGAACTTGGCATCGTGGAATGCGATGATTGCTGCTTATGTACAGAATGGATGGTATTCAGAAGCCTTGGAACTGTTCCTAGACATGTGGTACAATTCCGTTAAACTGGACGTGATAACATTTGCAAGCATATTACCAGCATATGCTGAAATAACCTCCTTGAGTGAGGGTAGGCAAATACATGCTGTTGTTACGAAATTGAGGCTTAGTTCGTCTAATGTCATCATCTCAAATTCAATTATTTATTTGTATGCCAAGTGTGGAGATCTCCGGACTGCAGGGAGATGTTTTGATGGCATGGTTTGTAAAGATGTTGTTTCATGGAACACAATCATTATGGCTTACGCCATTCATGGGTTCGGGAGAGTTTCCGTCCAGTTTTTCCAGGAAATGATAGAAAACGGTATCAAGCCTAACAAGAGCACTTTTGTTTCGCTATTATCAGCTTGCAGCATTTCTGGCATGGTCGATGAAGGGTGGGAATATTTTAATTCAATGAAAAGAGATTACGGTATTAACCCAGGAATAGAGCACTTCGGTTGTATGCTGGATCTTATTGGTCGAACTGGGAATCTTGATCTAGCTAAGCATTTTATTGAAGAAATGCCGCTTGTCCCGACCGCCCGGATTTGGGGTTCTCTACTATCTGCGAGTAGAAAAGCCAATGACATCGAATTCGCAGAAGTTGCATCCAAGCATGCTTTATCCCTGGAGCATGACAATACAGGGTGTTACATCTTGCTTTCTAACATGTATGCTGAAGCTGGGAGGTGGGCAGATGTAGAGAAGATCAAAACACTTGTGATTCAAGAAGGCATAGCAAAAACAATGGGATGTAGTACAGTTGAGAAAGACTATAAAGTTCACAGGTTTGTCGATCAAGATGGGTCGAACGCTCAGGTGAACATGATCAATGACGTGATGGATATCATCACGAAAATGACAGTGAAAGATGAAGATGTTTATGCTCGTCGTATTACCAAGTTGAGAAGAACAGATTTGACAAGAAAGAAACCAAATGTACCAGGGAATCATAGTGTGAGATCGGCCATCTCGTTCGGATTGATCTCGACCAAGTTGGGGTCTCCGGTTCTCATCAGAAAGAACGTTAGAATTTGCGAGGCTTGCCACATCTTTGCAAAGAGGGTCTCAAAGATTAGTAAAAGAGAGATGGTAGTGGGAGACTCCAAGGTCTTTCATCACTTTGAAGATGGAAACTGCTCTTGCGGTGATTATTGGTGATAGCTGCTGTTGTACAATCCATATATAGCCTAGCAAAACAACTATAAACAAACCTCCTACACAATTGTAAAAGACCAACGACAAATGAATAGAGACACCAAGTAATTGTGTATAGACATGTAAATTCAAATAAGTAAATTCCTATTCGAATTCGAAAATTTGACCGATTAATCTGAATTAAATACACACATGATATTATTTATAATAGCACGTGACATGCAACATTTTGGTTAACGAAAGACAACCAAAACAAGCAATCACAATGACTCGACATGCGTGTAGGAATGGAGTTGTTACACCATTAATTAAGAAAAAGAATCGTCATTTGTTTGTGGTTATGAAAATGTCAATGTCAAAAGCCATAGATGATATTGGTGGTATCGACTTAAATGTAATTGAGACAGCATGTAATCAAACTCAACCATTAAATAATTACTAGCATATATTAGCTTTATCATGTAAGACAAACCATCAAAGCTTGCTTCCTCTCTAAACAAACATTGGGTTATAGACGGATTGAGGAAGGTTGGTGTGATCGTATATCCGAAAATTTTAAATTTTTATAGTAATTTTTTATATTTTCTTATTGATAGTTTATTTTCATTCACTAAAATTTATAAATATGTCTAGTAAAGTTTTATATATTTCTTTCTTAGCATAAATCTTGCATCCGTTCTTAGATATTATTTTTTTGGTACAATACTATTTAAACATTTTTATCCTATTTTAATATAGGGTAAATTACAAATTTGGTGACTTAACTTTATCCTCTCTCCTATTTCACTCATTTTACTTTAAATATTTTCAAATTCCTCACTGAACTTAATACATTGGATTTTTTGGTTACTCGACCGTTAAATAATTAACGACGTTAAAATGGATTGTTGTATAGATGCAAAACGACGTTGTTTTGGTGAATTTTTTTTTTAAAACTGCATCATTTTTAATAACATTAGCTCTTTAACGACAGAGTGACCAAAATAGGAAGTAGAGTAAAGTTCAGTGATAAAAAACGCAATGTACTAAAGTTCAGTGAGCAAAATAAAAGAGAGTAAAATTCAGTGTTGAAATTTGTAGTTTACCCTTTAATATATAAATAATCACTTTATACTAATCTAACTCAAAATAAAAGAAAATTAATCTTCATTTTAATATTCTTGCATCCGTTCTTAGTTAATATTTTAGTACTCAATAATATATAATTTAGAACTTCAATTATCAAGTTAAAATTTGTTCTTGTCAATTTAAATTAATCTTCATTCTAATGATTAGATTCCAAGTTCTGATGAAGAACATCGTGCAAAAAGTAGAAAATCCAGAGAAGAAACGAAAGAAAGGGTCGGTGAGTCTGATCTTCGAGGTAAAGTTTCCCTGTTCTTATCAGCTTGTGTGTTCAATATCAATAGGCGCGTATCGTATCAATGGGCCTTTCGTACCAATAGGTGTATGGGCGATGTATAGGTTTCCGAGTTACCGATCTTTTATGCGTTAGTTAGCCTCGCTTTCCAACGCCTGTAATGCGGTAGGTCTCGCTACACGCGCCAGTAGGCTTGAGGTTGACACCTTTCTTTCGGTACTGCCATCCTAAACTCCTGGAATTACAACGTGGTTAACAGTCAAGTCAGTTACGGCTAGTTTCACTCCAACCTAATTTAATGCTAATTTAAATTGATTTTCAACTTCAAATATTATCAGTTTAATCTAATATATATATATATATATATGTATATGTATAAGTTAACAACCAATTTCTCTCGTTTTTTAACCTTTTATTAAAAATTGTATTTTAGGATTTCTGGTCTGTCACTGAACTGGCACATGCAATGTCCTAGTTTTGGAAATTTCGGATTCTACATCATACTTCGCTGAACTGCTATCTTCAATTCAGCATCAAGCAGAAAGGGGGGATATATGTAAAACCAATGACATTTCTCAAGAAATTTAAGCAAATTCAACACTATTGATCATCCAAAAAAGAAACCCTAACTTAATACAATAATTAAACAAATAAAATATGATCAAAACACAAACAAAAAGTATGGCATTCAAAGAGGCCTAAGATTTATTGATATGTGGGCAAACAGTGAAGAGAAAAGCAAAGGGGAAAAAAATCCACCCTCCAATTCCAATAGTATGTTTCAGATCTCGAATAATACAGAAATGACACCCCAAAACTAATAATAGAAGACAATGAAAGCCCTTGTACAAAACAATCTGTGGAATCCACAGATCAAAACCCTATTCCTATCTCACAAAACAATCAAAAGAAGAAAATTAAAAATAACAAATGCAAATTGCTTCAATCAGATTACCTTACCCCCATGTTTCAATTACTAAACACCAAATAGAACTCCCTCTTCAAGCTTTTTGGAGGCTGCATATTCCTGCATGCTAAAATCCATACAAAAATACCCCTCCCCTCCTCGAAACCGTGCAAAATGGGGACAAACCCCAACTTGTTTTAAGACAAGGAAACTGATATTCTTTGCTTCGGAAAAATCCATAACCACCTATCGGAACTTGCTTATACGAATCGCAGCTCCAATACAGTCAGACAATAAACCAACAGTATGGATGCTGATAAACATCTCTCAAGAACCACAAATGATGTAGAATAACGACAAGCATGGATAACGGCCAAGTTCTTATACTTGATACTTTGAAAGTTTATCCTTAACAGGTGGCTCCAAAGCAGACATACATTGGTCCCACGCCCCATTCCTAAGCATCTGCAGGCAAAATTTATTCACTTGACTCGGTAACTGACCTAGTCTATTGCATGTTATAATAATTATGTATCCTTAGCAAAAAATATAAGCAACCAAAAAGCACTAAAGTTTCCTCGTTAATTGGATAAAGAAAGAAAGAATAACAAAGGAAAAAGAAAAAGAATTTTCAATCAATAAAGGAGCACAAGACAAGAGATTCATAAGCAAGGAGATAGGGTAACCTATATGATTGCAGAAGTACATAGAAGCAAAAAAGGCATGCAATAACAAAATATAAGGATTTTGATAATTTTAATATATATTAAGTTAAAGTAATCAGCAAACCACAAACTTCCAGCAAGAATGTATAATCAGCAAAAGCAAAGCTGACGATGACAGATGCCTACCTGTTTGTAACCATTCAAGACCTGACAAACTTCATTATGAAGTTCTACGCTCCTTATTTCCTACAGGCAGAGAAAAAAAAGTTAAGGTCAAACTTTAGTTTAACATATACAAAAGCCTAAAATACAATTAATAACAGCACCCTTACATGCCAACTTGCAATAGCTCTGCACATGAAAACAAGTGAACTCAGAGCACCTGATGGATTTGCCCTGACCTGGAAAAGTGTGCATCCAGGAATAAATTAGTTTCTTGCCTCTGTTAATTAACATTATTACAAAAACAGATGCATACCATTGCACATAGACCTCGGAAGGCATCTTCTTTCTCAACATCATCCCGTATCCTGACAGTTACTTGTCAAATGAGTTGACATAGACGAAGCAACAATTACAAGTGTAACTTAGCTCTACATCAAACCAACAATTACAAGTGACGAAAATAAATTATACTTACATAGACAAAGCAATACACCATGATTGCATGAAATGCTCCATGTGTGGTGATACAAGATCTGGACAGACCAATGCAAGCCTCCCTAGTGTAATTGCACTATTTTCAACAAGTGACTTGTTGAGCCCCTGCAAATCATACAAAGATGAGATTATGGCATCAAAATGACTAATACAAGAACTAACATACAAACAATAGTTATGCATATATGAGGACGCATACCAACAAAGTTCACCAACAGAAAGGGAATATTACCTCTGCATGCTGAAGGATTGGAACCAAACACGAGACCACTGAAATGACAATTGGAGAAATTTCTTGATGTACCTGAAACTCAAAAAGGCAAATAGTAAAAAAAAAAGGATTCAAAGCACCCAAAGGGTAATCAACTTATGAAGGCAAGTCGATAAAACGGTAAGTAATCTAATTTTATCCTGATTGAGAATGAAGAACACACATACCTTAATTGCTAGCTCGCCAATAGCCCAGCATGCATTATTTGCTACTGAAATGGTTTCCTTTATCTTGGGGGTATTCTGCATTGAGCATAATATACTTTGTAAAAATGTAAATGAGGCAAACTGAGATACAGAATCCCAAAATGAGCCCTTACCAATTGCTTTGCTGCAATATCAAGAAACTCAGACAAACGAGGATGTAAATGAGCAGGGCACACCTAATCAAAGTCAAACATTTGAATGCAGTTAACATACACTAGCTAAACACTATATAATAAGGACTTTCAAGTTGATCAGCTAGGACCATGTTTGAGGCTTATTTAATAATAGACTTGCAAGCTTCATGTCCCTAGAGGTAGAAAAGTGATGTTTTATTTAATCTATAGTTCTAAACTATCATAACTGGTGAGTTCATTTTTAACATACTCTTGCAAGGTCCCCAAGAAGTGCAAATGCACTTTGACGGACATCAGAAGCATCATCATCCATGCAGCACTGCAGAAGCAGATCCCTCAAATTGCTCTGTGAAACCTGGCATATAAAGGTCCACGTATGCTAAACAAACATCTCAGGACACATTACACATGTTAACTTATATAAATTTTATAGTTAAGGAAAATTTCCAGTTTGCACGCCCAATATCAGGAACAAACGGACAAGTCCTCAAAACCTAGGTATGATGACAATTAATCTATTAAACATCAAGGCGGGAAATACAAAAAATTTAAGTAATATGTTGTGCAAGGAAGTTTCTGTGAATAATAGTCCATTGGCTCATTACACTCATCCATGTGTTCTCTGCAATTACTCCAGTGTCTAACATAGGATAATAGCAAAAAAATCTCGCTTCACATGATTTCTCATTAAATAGATAATTCCATGGACTAAAAGAATAGCCCACGTCAGTTCAAGATAGAAAAAAAGGATGCAAGGAGAAAGCAAGTACCAAACTCTCTATTCCACTACCAAGGCCCTCCGTCAGTCCAGAGAGCAAATCAAGTGCGCATACAATGAACTCCTTATCATACTGAACCCCGGCTGAAACAGTATCAACCTGCAATATAAATTCCATCAATTTCTTTTTTTTTTTGATAAAAT